TTGAGCCTGTTCCAGGCTCTGCATTTTTCCTCCCTGGACCCCTTCATCTGGAGGATGCTTTTTCAGGTGCTCCAGCACCTCCAACATTTGAATTCCAAAGCAACAACTCAGATTTTGGAAGGGCAGAACGACAAGTGCAGCCGGCGAGACCCGCTGAGAACATCCCGCCGTCGTGGTTCGAGATGGTGGCACCGAGGTGTTAAAAAATCCTTTAAAAACAGGGAAAAAAATCCTTAAAAGCAAAGGGAACTGGATGCTGGAATGCTGCCCTGGGCGAAGCAGGAGCCGGCAGCCGGCGGGGCGGTGCTGGAGGGGGGGTCAAGGCGTAGCTGGTTGGCATCAGCCCCGGCACGGGGTCCCCGCCAGCTTTTTTTCCCCATCCCTCCTTCCTGTTTTTCCCGGGGGAGCCGCTGTCATGCCCCGTGCCGTGGGCGAGCGCCACATATGGCGATGGAAAACAGGAAAGAGGGGGTAAAAACGGGGTGAGCATGGATGGGGGGGTTCAGTCCTCTCCAAAAATAGAGCAGCCGGCTTCGACGCAAACCCCACTTTTTGGGGGGGGGGGATTTTGAAACCACGCTGTATTGGAAAATCTGAATTTCACAAGTAGAAATAGGACTGGGGGACTCTTGTGTGCCCCCCAGAATTCCATGGAGGTATCTCAGCTTATGGAGGAGCAATGTCACATCATTCCTTCACGCTGGGATGTTATGAAGTTTCTTCCATCCCCCAGGGATGCAGGGGCCTAAATATAGAGGCTAAAAATATCATCCCGTACTCAGCTCAGCCCCAAACCCAGGATTTTTCGGGGAGAAATCTCAGGTGATCGACATTAATAACAGCGGGGACCTCGTTAATAAAATTCCTCATTAAAACAGCACCGCAGGGGCAGGATGGGAGTGCAGCACCCACCCACGGGAAAAGGGCAGGAGCCAGGGGAGGACCAAGGGGCTTTTTTTAGTTTTGGGGTTGGACAGTGGGAAATGGGGGAATTGGGGCAAGTGTTGCAGTTGCATCTCCAGAGAGGCGTCCCAGTTCATGAGGGTTATGGGGACATGCTCCCCTTTGGCTCCTCTCCACTCATTTTGGGGTGCAATCACAGTGATCCAGAGCTGTGCCTGCTGCCTGCCCCTGCCGGTGCTGCCTGCTACCCCTCCGTGTCCTTGGCCTCTTTCAGGTCCTGGAGGAAAGAAGAAAATTTAGATGCTGTGGCACAAGGGGGGGCAGGGAGAGCGGGGGAGCAGGGACCAAGTGTGGCTCCTGGCACCTGAATGGAGGGCAGCCTACCTCGGAAGGAGGCCAGGTGAGACGGTCGTCCTCCAGCATGGCTCCCCACGCCACCGGGTCAATGCCACCAGCTGGGGAAGGAGAGGGCTTGATGCCACATGCAGTGGGCACCTGGTACCATGGGTGATGGGCACATGGGACAGGCACAACATCCTGGGCGATGGCACAAAGGGAAGGCCTGATGGCCATTGGTGGTGGACATTTGGGACAGGGACAAGGCTGTGGGCAATGGGCACAAGGGCAGGTTTGGGCACACAGGAGAGGCCTGATGGCCAACGGTGGTGGACATTTGGGAAAGGCACAAGGCCATGCACAATGGGCACAAGGGCAGGTTTGATGTCCTGGTGATGGGCACACAGGAGAGCCCTGATGCTGTAGATGGTGGGCATGGGGGGCAGGCCTGACACCCTGGGCAAGGGACATGTGGGCAAGGCCTGACGCCCTGGTGATAGGCAGATGGGGCAGGCTGGGCAGGCAATGCAGTGTGGGGCAGGATGTGGGGGTGGCTGCTGGGCAAGGCCACTCACCCTCTCTGCTCTCCAGCAGCTTTTGGAAGTACTGCGCTGCAAAGGCCACCACGTCGGTGGGCTGCTCCCGCAGCACTTCCCGCGCCAGCCCCTCCAGCAGGTTCCGGAAGCCGGCG